AGCAGCTTTGCGTGACTTCTAACCCTCTCACCCCTGACCTGGGGGTCGGTGTTCTGTCTTTACGCAGGCGGGGTATTTTCAGCTTCATTGATTTGTGTGTTAAGAGCGCTGTGCCTTCCGCATATTAAGGATGGGCTTGACTGAAGCCACTGCGTGTTTTCTGTAGTCACCTATATCTAAAGGGAAACCTGTAATAGGTTGGGAAGATCTTCTCTTGAGTTCAGCCTTATCATTTTTATTATCCTCCCTAGCTTTATGTACCATGTGCCCAATCACATCCATCACAGTAATGAACAAACGCTTCATGAATGGAAGCCTCTGTTTACTATTACTAATGTGATTGGCCACAGCAATCACATGGTACAGGGGCAGTGACATGGGTGCTGTATCCTGGTCTGTGATCCGCTGTGTCTGAGGTGCACGGCAATCGCAGATTGCGGCCTCAGGGCCATGCAGAGTGGCCACTATGGGAGGACGTACCAGTATGTCCTTCTAGATCGACGCCTGTCCCGCGTGCTGCCTGGCCAATATATATATATATATATGTATGTGTGTGTGTATATATACAGTGAAGGAAATAAGTGTTTGATCCCCGCTGATTTTGAATGTTTGCCCACTCACAAAGAAATGATCGGTCTAGAAATCGAATGCATGGTGCACCAGACCTAGGGAGACTGACACTTGTTTTGTGTTTCTTCCATTTGTGAATGATTGCACCAACTGTTGTCACCTTCTCACCAAGCTGCTTGGCCATAGTTTGGTAGCCCAGTCCAGCCTTGTGTAGGTCTACAATCTTGTCCCTGACATCCTTGGACAGCTCTTTGGTCTTTGCCATGGTGGAGAGTTTGGAATCTGATTGTTTGATTGCTCCTGTGGACAGGTGTCTTTTATACAGGTAACAAAATGAGATTAGCAGCACTCCCTTTAAGAGACTGCTTCTAATCTCAGCTTGTTACCTGTATGAGAGACACCTGGTAGCCAGAAATCCTGCTGAATGATAGGGGATCAAATACTTTCTTTCCCTCATGAACATGCAGATCAGTCATCATTTGTTGGACGCATTTCTGCTGAATTTGTTGTTGCTATTCTGTCTCTGTGTTATAATACACCGAACATTCGATTTTTATATCGATCATTTCTTTGTGAGGGGCAAACATTCAAAATCAGCCGGGGAGGAAATACGCATTTCCTTCACTGTATATATGCGTGTGTGTGTATATGTGTGTATATATATATATATATAATATATACACACAGTTGTGCTCAAAAGTTTGCATACCCCGGCAGAAATTGTGAAATTTTTGGCTTTGATATTGAATATATGACTGATCATGCCACAAATTGTTCTTTGATTGAAGGATGATGATCATATGAAGCCATTTATTATCAAATAGTTTTTTGGCTCCTTTTTAAATCATAATGATAACAGAAATCACCCAAATGGCCCAGATCAGAAGTCTCCACCCCCGGATCAGAAGTCTCCGCCCCCCAGATCAGAAGTTTCCCTCCCTGGAATGTTGGGCCTTGGTACAGACACACAAGGTGACACACACACGGTTACAATGCCAATTAGAGGTTAATTTCCCACATCTGGGGCTTTTTACATTGCAATTAGTGTCTGTGTATAAATAGTCAATGTGTTTGTTAGCTCTTACCTGGAAGCACTGACTAGGCTAGATACTGAGCCATGGGGTTCAGAAAAGAACTGTCAAAAGTCCTGCGTAACAAGGTAATGGAACTTTATAAAGATGGAAAAGGACATAAAAAGATGTCAAAGCCTTGAATATGCCAATCAGTACTGTTACATCACCTATTAAGAAGTGGAAAGTTTGGGGATCTCTTGATACCAAGTCAAGGTCAGGTAGACCTAGAAAGATTGAAGCCATAACTGCCTGAAGAATTGTTCGGGATACAAAGGGAAACCCATAGGTAACCACAAGAAAAATACAGGCTGCTCTGGAAAATGACAGTTTAGTTGTTTTGAAGGAGCACAATATGATGACACTTGAACAAAAATGAGCTGCATGGTGGAGGTGCCAGAAAGAAGCCTTTACTGCATGAGTGGCACAAGAAGGCCCGGTTAGGCATGTCAAGGTGATGTCAGGCATATTGTAACCGGCTTTTTTGTGGCATTGGTGCAGTAAAAGCTTCTTTCTGGCACCTCGACCAAACAGCTCATTTTTTGTTCAAGTATCACCGTATTGTACTCCTTAAAACAACCACACCATCTTTTTCCAGCCTGTTGTCTACCTGACCTTGGCTTGGTAACAAGAGATCCCCGAACTTTCCACTACTTAATAGGTGATTTAACAGTACTGGTTGGCATATTCAAGGCTTTGGACATCTTTATATGTCCTTTTCCATCTTTATAAAGTTCCATTACCTTGTTACGCAGGACTTTTGACAGTTCTTTTCTGATCCCATGGCTCAGTATCTAGCCTAGTCAGTGCTTCCATGTAAGAGCTAACAAACACGTTGACTATATACTGACACTAATTGCAATTTAAAAAGCCCCAGATGTGGGAAATTAACCTCTTATAGGCATTGTACCCTGTGTGTGTCACCTTGTGTGTCTGTACCAAGGCCAAACATTCCAGGGGAGGGAGACTTCTGATCCAGGGAGTGGAGACTTCTGATCCGGGCAATTCGGGTGATTTCTGTTATTATGATTTAAAAAGGAGCCAAACAAATATTTGATAATAAATGGCTTCTTATGATCATCATCCTTCAATAAAAGAGCATTTTTTGGCATGATCAGTCATATTTTCAATATCAGTGCCAAAATTTCACAATTTCTGCCAGGGTGTGTAAACTTTTGAGCCCAACTGTATATTGTGTGTGTGTGTGTATATATATGTGTGTGTGTGTATATATATATGTGTGTGTGTGTATATATATATATATATATATATATATATATATATATATCTGTCTTCTGTGAGATTAGGATTTGGAGGGGAAGCTAGGACAGCATCGGAGGAATGAGACGAGCCAGGTATTAGGGACAGGGGGAGAAAAGGTAGCGGAGCGTTATTTTAAAGGAGAAGTACAGCCAGAGGTCTTTTGGCTGTACTTCTCCTGTAGATCACAGGAGTGCAGTTCATTCTGAGTGCAGTTCAGTTCATTCTGCACTCCTGAGAGATATTTTCGGCCGACAGCGGACTGAAGCGCAGTGTCGGCTGACGTCAATCAGCTGGTCTAGGCTGGGGAAAGATCTCTACTTTAAAGTCGGGATCCACCCCAGAGTACCAGGTTCAACTTCCTGAGAGCCTGAGCCAGGCGCTCCCTCCCCCTCCACAGCTCAGTGCTCCAGTGACTGACAATCCCCACTCTCTGCTCGGAGCGGCTGTGAGATCTCAGTGGTCATGTGATCACTGTTAGAGCCGGTGGGGGACAGATGCAGCAAAAAAATGAATTCCCATACTTCTCTTCTAACGCTTACAATGCACTAAGGTAAAAAAGAATATTTTGACTTTAGATCAGTGATTCTCAACCTTCCTAATGCCGCGACCCTTTAATACAGTTCCTCATGTTGTGGTGACCCCCAACCATAAAAATTATTTTCGTTGCCACTTCATAACTGTAATTTTGCTACTATTATGAAACGAAATGTAAATATCTGATATGCAGGATGTATTTTCATTGTTACAAATTGAACATAATTAAAGCATAGTGATTAATCACAAAAACAATATGTAATTATATATTGTGAAATCTTTATTTCTAATTACAAATAAATTCAATTTTGTATTCACATCAACCACAGCTGAATATAAAAAGACCGATCAGCATCCAGATTAAGTTCCAATGGTACAGATATTTTTTCTTGCAGTAGCTGATTTTATAGTACATGATTTTACATTTACCCAGTAATTATAATTCATGAAGTGTTGTTTTACCTCCAATACTGCTGCTTTTAACACAGTAGCTGCTTTTAACACAGTAGCTGCTTTCAACACAGTAGCTGCTTTCAACACAGTAGCTGCTTTCAACACAGTAGCTGCTTTCAACACAGCAGATGCTTTCTACACAGTAGCTGCTTTCAACACAGCAGCTGCTTTCTACACAGTAGCTGCTTTCAACACAGTAGCTGCTTTCAACACAGCAGCTGCTTTCTACACAGTAGCTGCTTTCAACACAGCAGCTGCTTTCTACACAGTAGCTGCTTTCAACACAGCTGCTTTCAGTAGCTGCTTTCAACACAGTAGCTGCTTTCTACACAGTAGCTGCTCTTTACACATATGTGACTGGTCCACATAAGTACATTATGGTGCCAACCCTGTCACATACACCTGTATTTGTACAGGGTGTATGTGATGGGGTTGGCGCGATGATGTCATCACGCCGGGTACTCGTATGTGGGCGTATCTGCATGTGGGCCTGGAGACAGATGGAGGAGCAAATCTCTGTTCCTAAGACCATCGGAAATATGTGTTTTCCAATGGTCTTAGGCGACCCCTGTGAAAGGGTCGTTCGACCCCCAAAGGGTCGCGACCCACAGGTTGAGAACCGCTGCTTTAGAACCACTGTAATGCAGCTTACAAAGGATGTAGTCTGAAGGCATTAGGGGGAATTCAGGATGTATCACTTGGGATGGTTCGCTCTATATACGTAAGTAATGGGGCAAAAGCTGTAGAGAAAAAAAAGTTTTCAGCTTCAAACTTTTGTCTGTTGCTACCAAGTCCCCTTTAAAGGGATTTTGTTAAAATAGCGATTCTGCTTTTGCTTGCTGGTTTTTTAAGGGCGCTAGTTCCAAGGTTAACATCCATATCCTATCTATCTATACTAAATAAATAAGTCAACATTAATACAACACCATCCTAGAGGCACATCTGTGTGACTGCAATCTTGCCCACATTGCTACATCTGAAACTGCTGACAAAAATAAGCTGCATACAGACCAGGTGGGCCCTAGACTTTGCCTGTTCGGTGCATCTCAGCTGTCCTTAAATTATAGCAGTTCTTAATGTTCATTTATTTGGTTTTTGTCAATTTTCCAGGAAAAAGCCGTCATGCAGATGCTTCCTGAGTCAGAAGGGGACGGCGTGGCCGAGAAACCTCTAAAGATCCCCAAAGAGATGTGGCTGCTGGTGGACCATTTATATATATAAACGCCTGCCATCAGGTTTGTCAGGACTCACTGATGTCATCTACCATTACAGTTCTTCTGGAGGTCACTATATATTAACCACTTAAAGCGGAGCTCCACCTAAAAAGGGGGAAGTTCCGCTTTAAGCCTTTGTCCCCCGCTCCCCATTAAGGATTGGCATTTTTTGAGTAGCGGAGGGGGGAACGGGTACACGAATTTGATAGGTACCCGCTCAGACTTCTGCTGCGATAGCCTAGGCAATGAGAAGCAAAAAGTTGTCCTCCCCCCTCCCTCCCCGTAGTCCTTCTGGTACACATGACAGGTCCCAGAAGACTATCGGTCCATTCACAAAGCGCAGCGCTTCTCACGCATGTGCAGTGGGCACCCGGCTGTGAAGCCGCAAGCTTTAATTGCCGGGAGCCCACACTGAAGATGCTGGCACCAAGGAGAAAAGACGGCCAGTGAAACTTGCCATGGTGAGTACACCGCTGGACCGAGGGACAGGTAAGTGACTGTATTTTAAAAGTCAGCAGCTACAGTTTTTGTAGCTGGTGATCCCCTGCTAGCTGTCACAGCGGGAAGCGGGTGCCAGTCCATTCGTACATGTTACATGCAGGGGCGGACTGACCATTTGGAAACTTGGGCACTGCCCGAGGGCCCGGGGTCAGTAGGGGGCCCCATGAGATGCCCCTGGTACCTTTTTCATAGGCTTTTTTGAGTTTGGGCAAGAACACAGGGGCCCCATGATCCCCTATTGCCCGGGGCCCCATGAGTTGTCAGTCCGCCCCTGGTTACATGTTACACCCTGACTATGGGTGTAGCATGTAACATGTTATGAAAGGTGAATGTATCCTTTAAATGCTTTGCTTGAAGTTCCGTTCTTGCGTGCACCAGATTGATGTGGATGATGTCATCCCTTACCATCCTCTGCTTTCTGTTCAGCTGCCTCCCAGAACTTTTCCTGACTCATTCCCACACCAGCCTGGCCCCCTTTGCCTAGTCTTTGGCACTCTCCATGACTGACTCACTTCCCTGTTACCCCAGAGACGCTGGATTGCGTAGAGACGGGAGGCAGATAAATACACATACTCTGTATTTCTGACAAGATCAAGTTTCTCTGTGCTTTTCCAACAGATGTATTAAAAAGTTTCTAAAGCCAAATCAAACAGACCCAAAGGGAGCAAATAAGAGAAGTTCATTGTTATTTTCATACATCTCAAGAGTTTTGTGTGTTTCTCTTGCAGGAAGATCTCTTCCAAACTCCCGGCAGACAGGAAGAACTACAGCAGATTATCGACTGCTTAGATACCAGCATTCCAGACACCATCCGTATCCTTCCCTTGCATAGATCATCCAGTTTATCTTTGGTAGCCTTGGCTTGAAGCAGATAAGTTTATTCTCACTGAGAAGTTGTATTCCTAAATCTTCTTTGGGCATGTCCACCGTGTTGGGTGAAAATGGGCTTGACCCTGTGGCCTGGATCGGTACGTGTCCCTATTGTGTGGAAGTCCACCCTTTTGGAAGTGCTGCTGTGGGCAGTGGTAGTTGTACAGGGCTGGCTGTGGGGTGCTTGGGTGCCAGTAGGTGCTACATCACAGTGTAGGTATTCAACAGAGGCATTACTTCTCTCTCTCTACTGTGTGTGGACGTTTCCAGCTGCATCTACATGAGCGTCATTTTGGATCACAGTCAAGGCTGTCACTGGGTCTTCTGGGTTTGGCATTTAGTAGGGTACCTGGTATCTAGTGAGTTGCTGTCAGGGTGCTTTAGAGATCCAGGATGCTTATCGCCTGATGGGGAGTTGGGTCCCTGAAGGCTTTTTGAGGTGTCCGCCATGGTAGATGAAGATTGGACTTGAGCTTGTGACTTAGATTGGTAAGTGCCCCAATTGTGTTGAAGTCCCGCTTTTTTTTGAAAATGTTCCGTTAAACGCTAGGCGTCTGTTGGGCAGTGTGCTACCGTGCATGGTGGTAGCTATACAGGGCTGCCTATGGGGTATGCGGCCCCCAGTTCAGTAGAACACCACTGTGACGGTTTCAAAAAGGGTGGGACTTTTTGAAAATGTTCCGTTAACCGCTGGGCACCTTTTCGGCCTTGTGCTACCGTGCATGGTGGTAGCTATACAGGGCTGCCTATGGGGTATGTGGCCCCAGTTCAGTAGAACACCACTGTGACATTATTCAAAAAGGGTCAGACCTTACTGTATTGCATTTGCATGGCCTGGGAGCAAGAGAGAAGAACAATGGGGTGCAATTCCAAATCTCTTTGTCAGGTGGTGAAAGCCCCCTGTACAGATAACCCTGCAATGTCTCCTCTTAGGATCAGCTTACTTCTAACCCTTGCCTTTAACTGGTATTACACTGTTTCAGGGGCACATTCTTTCATTTTCTTTTGTATCTAGGAGGAATTTTGGGCAACCAATTATGCGCTGCATAAGCAGCTTTCAGGGATTCTCACTGGTCTGGGCCACTGGGGCGCAAACAAGAGAATTCTCCCCTAATTTAGGAGTGTAAGGTGTTGGAGGAACATTCTTTAAATCAGGGGTCTCCAAACTTTTCAAACTGGCCAGTTTACTGTCCTTCAGACTTTAGGCGGGGGCTAGATTGTGGCTAGTGGGGGTAGAAAATTTCCCAGGCCCAGCATCACTGAAAATAAACATGGCCTCCAGTTTGGTGGTCAGTAGGAGCAGGAATAGTGTCTCAACATTGATATTAGTGGGAGGAATAGTGTCTCAACATTGATATTAGTAGGAGGAATAGTGTCTCAACATTGGTATTAGTGGGAGGAATAGCGCCCCATCATTAGTATTAGTGGGAGGAATAGTGCCCCATCATTGGTATCAGTGGGAGGAATAGTGCCCCATCATTGGTATCAGTGGGAGGAATAGTGCCCCATCATTGGTATCAGTGGGAGGAATAGTGCCCCATCATTGGTATCAGTGGGAGGAATAGTGCCCCATCATTGGTATCAGTGGGAGGAATAGTGCTCCATCATTGGTATCAGTGGGAGGAATAGTGTCCCATCATTGGTATCAGTGGGAGGAATAGTGTCCCATCATTAGTATTAGTGGGAGGAATAGTGTCCCATCATTGGTATCAGTGGGAGAGAATAGTGCCCCATCATTGGTATCAGTGGGAGGAATAGTGCCCCATCATTGGTATCAGTGGGAGGAATAGTGCTCCATCATTGGTATCAGTGGGAGGAATAGTGTCCCATCATTGGTATCAGTGGGAGGAATAGTGTCCCATCATTAGTATTAGTGGGGGGGAATAGTGCCCCATCATTGGTATTAGTGGGAGGAATAGTGCCCCATCATTGGTATCAGTGGGAGGAATAGTGCCCCATCATTGGTATCAGTGGGGAGGAATAGTGCCCCATCATTGGTATCAGTGGGAGGAATAGTGCCCCATCATTGGTATCAGTGGGAGGAATAGTGTCCCATCATTGGTATCAGTGGGAGGAATAGTGTCCCATCATTGGTATCAGTGGGAGGAATAGTGCTCCATCATTGGTATCAGTGGGAGGAATAGTGTCCCCATCATTGGTATCAGTGGGAGGAATAGTATCCCATCATTGGTGTCAGTGGAGGAATAGTGCCCATCATTGGTATCAGTGGGAGGAATAGTGCCCCATCATTGGTATCAGTGGAGGAATAGAATAGTGCTCCATCATTGGTATCAGTGGAGGAATAGTGTCCCCATCATTGGTATCAGTGAAAGGAATAGTGTCCCATCTTTGGTGTCAGTGAAAGGAATAGTGTCCCATCTTTGGTGTCAGTGGAAGGAATAGTGCCCCATCATTGGTGTCAGTGGGAGGAATAGTGGCCCATCATTGGTATCAGTGGGAGGAATAGTGCCCCATCATTGGTGTCGGTGGGATGAATAGTGCCCCATCATAGTGGTATCATTGATGGGAGGAATAGTGTCTCAACATTGATATTAGTAGGAGGAATAGTGTCTCAACATTGGTATTAGTGGGAGGAATAGTGCCCTATCATTGGATACAGTGGGAGGAATAGTGTCCCATCATTGGTAACAGTGGGAGTAGTAGTATCCCATCATTAGTGTCAATGGCAGGAATTATGCCCACTTTTGGTGTCAGTGGGAGGAACTGTGGCTGGATAAAGGCTAGCAAAGGGTCGCAGTTTGGAGACCACTGCTTTAGATGAGGAGAAGGAAACCAGTGAGGATCGGTGGTCCGCTTTGAACGAGTCCTCTCCAGAAAACACAGCTCAGGATCCTGGAATGTCACAGGCGCAGAGGACTACAGTTAGTTTTTGGGGAATGTGGTCAGAACAAATTTGAAACTGCAACTTTCGGAATCCATTTCTACTAGTCACTGGGTTTGGGTAGCAGGGCCCGCCAGAGCATCCAAGATATTCCTTTGTTGCCTCTTACATGGCTTGTTGCCTTTTTGGCTGCTATTACTTTGCTTCGGAAGGTCTTGGATCTGGCTGCACTTTCCTGCAAGACACCATTCCTGGTCCTTCACAGATAATTTTGCGTTGATGCCTCGATTCCCTTTTTTCCCTTTCCACCTGACCAAGGCCATTGTGTTACTATGTTTGCATCCTAAGCACCCTAAGGAGAAGGTACTTTGCTCTTTGGATGTGTTTCAAGCTGCGGGGATTTACCTGATCTCTGCAGCTTCATTTTGGCATTCCTACTCTGTTTGTTCTGTCTGAGGTTGCTCGAAAGAGACAGGCTACTTTTGAATGCACTATTTCTCAGTGGATTCATCAGTTCATTTCTCAGACATATGGCCTGCAGGGCAAGGTTCCTTCTTTCTTAGTCAAGGCCTATTCCACCAGGAATGTCAACGCTTCCTGGGTGTCGGTCTCAAGATTCCATTTTTAAGGTTTATTAGTCTGCCACTTGGTTTTCGGCTCACAAGTTTTAATGGGTTTTGCCAGGTAAATGTTCAGGCCTCTGCAAACGCCAGTTTTTGAGCTGAATGTCTTGCAGGTGACTTTGTAGTTCTTTTCTGTTTGGGTTTTGAGCTTGCTGCTCCCCCCTCATGGTCAGTGCTTTGGGACATCCCAATGGTCCTAAGTATGAAGATGCCCTGTGTCCTGTGATGTACAATTAAGAAAGTAGGATGTCCGGCTTTACCTGTAAAATCTGTTTCTTTGAGTACTTCAGAGGACACAGGTTTCCCCTCCCCTCTTTGTGTTCCTCAGTATTTGCTATGAAATGGAGTTTTCATTTCACTAGGTTTTGTACATATAGATTTTTTTTTACAGTATTTTTGATTTTCTAGACCCCCTGAATTGTATATTTCTGTGCAGACTGGTCAGAGCTTCCATACTTATTATTCTGGTGAATTGACAGTGGGCTGCTCGTCAGAATTGCTTGGATTTGCCAGATGCGATTTGCTTTGCTTGTCTCTAATTGCCGGTTTATGTATCCATGCAGTATGTCTAACCAGAGGAACCATTCTAGTCCCTTATTCAGTTGGTAAAATCTGAATCCTAGAGAATGAATATTTATGACCATTTTGTTGGCAGCGATGTCCTTCGTACTGTGTATGAAACGCTGGGATTGTATGGAAGACCTAGAAGACTGAATCCAAAGTGAACACATGGCAATTCTGTATTCTTCTTTGTACTGTTTTATGACCGTTCTGTTTTATCATCTGTTTTACCTTAACACTGATCCCCCAGCGGGTAGTAACCATTCTGTGGCAGAAGCTCTGTTGATATTCCTGAAGCTCTACCCGAACCAGTGATCTGTTACGAGCTGTACCAGCGCTGCATCGACTGTTCCCCACGACACTCGCCTCTGCCGTCAGGTTTGTAGAAATGCTGCTAAAGACATTCTGGGAAAAACATGGACGACATTTCTCTGGAGTTGGCTCTCTATATAAAACTAACTATGCCTAATTCAAACAGGCAATTTGCACCAGTTTCAGTATTAATACCGACATGTGCAACAAATTCAAGTAGTTCTTACTATCGCCACTCATCGCAGTGGCAGCAAGAATTTACCTCCCAGTTCACAAATGAAGAAACTGGTGATCATTAAGACCAACTCTAGCCAGTGCTCAGCGTTTGGCCCTTCTGTGCTGTCATAAATGTGACCGCTTCCCGCATAGGGCTCAATCCCCGGCCCTGTCAGCTGTCATTAGCGAAAACTAAACGTTAACAAAGGGGCCAGGGACATACTGCTGATGTCATTACGCAAGGGAGTCACAAGGAGAGGCGGACTGGATTGGGAGCCAGTCCCCATGGTCACAGCGCCTGTTGGATGGCGGGAGACTGATGGGAAACTGATCAACTAGTTCCTCCATTAGGTCTATTTTTCTTTTGATTGAGAGCGTATTACCTCTTTTTTTTTCTTTCTCTTCCTTCTTTCCCTTTTTTTCTTCTTCTCCTTCCCTTTTCCTTTTTCTTCCCCCTTCTTCTTTTTTTTCCCTTTCTTTCCCTTCTTCTTTTCCTTTCTTTTTTCTCCTTCTCTTTCCCTTTTCTTTTTTTTTTTCTCTCCCTCTCTTTCTCCTTCTCCTCTTTCTTCTCCCCTTTTCTCTTCCTCTTTCTTCCTTTTTTCTTTTTTTCCCTTCCCTTTCCCTCCTTTCTTCCTTTCTTCTTCTTTTTCTTCCCCTCTTCCTTCCTCTTTTCCTTCTCTTCTCTTCTCCCTTTCCCCTCCTCTCTCCTTCCCCCTTTTTCTCCCTTTCTTTTTCTCTTCTCCTTCTCCTTCCCTCTTCTCTTCCTCCTCCTCCTCCTCTCTCCTTCCTTTTCCCTCTTCTTCTCCTTTCCTCTCTTTCCCCTTCCCTCTTTTCTTTCTTTCCTTTCTTCCTTTCCCCTTCCCTTCCCCTCCTCTCCCCTCTTCCTTTTTTCCCTCTTCCCCCCTTTTTTTTCCTTCCCTCCCTCTTCTTTTTTTCCCCTCTTTTTTCTTTTCACTTCCCCTCTCTCTCTCTTTCCCTCTCCTTCTTTTCCCTCTTCTCCCTTCCCTCTTTTTCCCCTTCTCCTTCCTTTCTTCTCTTTCCCTTCCCTTTCCCCCTCTCTCTCCTCCCCTTCCCTCCCTCCCTCTCCCTTTCCTCTCTCTCCTTCCTTCCCCTTCTCCTCCCTTCTCCTTCCCCCTTCCTTCCCCTCCTTTCCCTCCTTTTCTTTCCCCTTCCCTTTTTTCCTCCTTCTCCCCCTTTCCCCTCCTCCCTTCTCTTTCCCCTCTTTCTCTTCCTTCCTTTCCCTTCCTTTCTCTTTCTCCCCTTTTTTCCTCTTCTTTTTTCCCCCTTTTCTCTTCCCCCTTCCTCTTCTTTTTTTCCCCTCTTCCTCTCCCTCCTCTTCTTCTCCCCTCCTTCCCTTTCCTTCCTTTCCCCTCTCTCTTTCCTTCTTTTCCCCTTCCTTCTCCTTTTTCTCTTCCTTTCTTTTCCCTTCCTCCCCTCTCTCTTCCCCTTCCCTTTCCCCTCTCTTCCCCCTTCCCCTTTCTCTTCCCCTCTTCTCCTTCCTTTTCTTCTTTTTCCTTCCCCCCCCTTCTTCCTCTTCCCTTCTCTTCTCTTTTTTCCCCTCCTTCTCCCTTCTTCCTCTCTCCTTCCCTCTTTCCTTCCCCCTCTCTCTCCCTCTCTTCCCCCTCTTTCTCCCTCCTTCCTCTCCCTCTTCCCCCTTTCTTCTCTTCCTTTCCTTTTCCTTCTTCTCCTCTCCTCTTCTTTCCCTCTTCTCCTCCTTTTTTCCTCCCCCCCTTTCTCCCCTCCTTCTCCTCATTTTCCCTTCTCTTCTTCTCCCCTTTCTTCCTTCCTTCCTTCCTTTCTTCTTCTTCCCTCTCTCCCCTCTTTTCCTCTTTTCCTTTTTCTCCCTTTCTTTCCTTTCTCTTCTTTTCCCCTTCCTTTCTTCCTTCCCCCTCTTCCTCCCTTTCCTCCCCTTCCCCTCCCCTTTTCCTCTTTCTCTTCTTTCCCCCTTCCTTTCCCTTCTCTCCTCCTTCCTCTCTCTCCTTTCCTCTCTCTTCCCCTCCATCTTCCCCCCCCCCCTCTCTTCCTTTTCTTTCCTTCTCTTTTTTCCCCCTTCTTCTTCCCCCCCCCCTTCCCTTCTCCCCCCCCCTTCTCTCTTTCTTTTCTTCCCTCTCTCCTCTTCTTTCTCTCCTTTCCCCCTTTTTCTTTTTTTTTCCTTTCTCTCTTTTCCTCTTTCCTTCCCCCCCTTCTTCTTTTTTTCCCTTCTCCTCCTCTCCCCTCCTCTTTCCCCTCTCTTCCCTCCCTCTCTCTCCCCTCCTCCCTCTCTTCCCCTCCCCTTTTTCCTTCCCCCCCTCTCTCTTTTCTCTCTCTTCTCCTCTTTCCTCTCTCTCCCTCCTTTTTCCCCTCCCTCCTTCTTCTCTCTCTTCTCCCCCTCCTCTCTCTCTCTTCCCCCCCTTCCTTTTTCCCTTCTTCCCCCCCCTTTCCTCTTTTCTCTTCCTCCTCCCCTTTCTCCCTTCTTTCCTTCCCCTTCTCTCCCTTTCCCTCTCCTCCCCCTTCTCTCTCCTCTTCTTTCTCTCCTCCCCTCTTTTTTCTTTTCCCTCCTCCTCTCTTCCCCCCCTTCCCCCCTTCTTTCTCTCTCCTTCTTCTTTCTCTTTCTCTCCCCTTCCTTTCCCCCCTTCCCTCTCCCCCCTTCTCTCCCCCCTCCCCCCCCCTTCTTTCCCTCCTCCCCCCCCTTCCTCTCCCTTTTTTTTCTCCTTCCTCCTCCTTCCTTCTTTCTCTCCTCCCCTCTCTTTCCTCTTTCTTCTCCCCCCTTCCCCTCTCTTCTTCCCTTTCCCCTCCCCTCTCTTCTCTCTCCCTCCTCTTTCCCTCCTCTTCCCCCTTTTCTCCCCTCTTCTCTTCTCCTTCCCCCTTCCTTCCCCTTTTCCTTTTCCCTTCCCCCCTCTTCCCTTTTCCTCTCCCTCTTTCCCCTCCCCTCTCCTTCCTCTCTTTCTTCCTCCCTTCCCTCTTCTCCCCCCTTCCTTCCCCTCTCCCCCTTTCTCCCTTCCCTTTCCTTTCCCTCTTCCCTTCTTCCCTTCTTCTCCTTCTCCCCTTCTCCCCCTTCCCTCCTCCCCTCCCTCTCTTTTTCCCCTTTCCTCTCTCCTCTTTCCTCCTCCTTTCTCCCTTTCATCCCTTCTTCTTCTCCCTTCTCCCCTTTCCTTCCCCTTCCCCCCCTTTTTCCTCCCCCTCCCTCTTTTTCCTATTTCCTTCCCCCCCCCCCCTTTCCCCCTTCCCCTTTTTTTTCCCTTCTCCCTTCCTCCTTTCTCTCTCCTCTTTTCCCTTCTTCTCCTTTCCTTTTTCTCTTTCCTTTCCCCCCTTTCCTTCTCCTCCTCCCTTTCCCCCTCCTTCTTTCCTCCTTCCCTTCTTCTTTTCCCTTTCCCCTTCCCCTTCTCCTTCCCCTCCCTCCCTCCCCCCTCTCCTTTTCCTCTTCCCTTTTCTCTCCTTTCTCTCCCTTCCTTTCTCTCTTCTTTCCCTCCCTCCCTCCTCCTTTTCCCTTCTCTTCTCCTTCCCCTTCTTCTTCCCTCTCTCTCTTTCCTCTCTCCCTCCTTTCCCCTTTCCCTCTCTCCTCCCTTCTTCCCTTTCCTCTTCTCTTCTTCTCTTCTTCCTTCCCCTCTTCCCTTCCTTTCTTCTCCTTTTCTTCCTCCCTCTCTCTCCTCCCTCTTTCCTTCCTTCTCCTTCCCCCTCTTCCCTCTCCTTTTTTCCCTCTCCTCTCTTCCTTCCCTTCTTCTCTCTCCTCCCTCTTCTTTCCTCCCTCTCTTTTCTCTCTTTTCCCCTCCTCCTTCCCCTTTTTCCCCTCCCTTTTTCCCTTTTCTCTCTCCCTTTCTCCTCTCTTCCCCTTCCCTTCCCCTCTCCTTCTCTCTTTTTTTCCCTCCCTCCTTTTCTTTCCCTTTTTCTTTCCTCCTTCCCTTCCCTTTCCCCCTCCTCCCTCTTCCTTTCCCCTTCTTTCCTTCTTTCCTTCTCCTTTTCCCTCTCTCTTCTTCCCCCCCTCTCTTCCCCTCTCCCTTTCCCTCTTCCTTTCCTCCTTTCCCTTTCCTCTTCTTCCTTCCCTCCCCTTCCTCTTCCTCTTTTCTCCCTTTCCTCTTTCCCTCCTTTCTCTCCCCTTCCTTTCTCCTTTCTCCTCCTTTCTTCTCTCTTCCTTCTCTTCTCTCTCTTCTTCTTCCTCTCTTCTCCTCTTTTTTCCTTCCTCTCTCATCTCCCTCTCTTTCCCTTTCCCCCCTCTTTTTCCCCTTTCTCCTTCTCCCCCCCCCTCCCCCTCTTCTTCCCCCTCCCCCTCCTCCTTCCCCCCCCCCCCTCCTTCCCCCTCTCTTCTTCCCCCCTCTCCCTTTCTCTTTTTCTTCCCCTCCTCTCTCCCCTTTTCCCCTCCTCTCCCCCTTTTTTCCTTCCCTCTCTCCTTCCCCCCTTCCCCTCTTCTTTCCCCCTTCCTCTCTCTTCCCTTCTCTTTCCTCTCTCTCCCCTTCCTTCCCCCCCTTCCCTCTTTTCTTTCTCCCTCTTCTTCCCCCCTCTTTCTCTCTTTCTCCCTTCTCCTTTCTTCCCTTCCCCTTTTCCCCTCCTTCCTCCTCTCTTTTTTTTCCTCTTTCTTCCCTTCTCCCTCCCTTCCCCCTCTCCTCCTTCCCCCCTCTCCCCTCCCCCCCTCTTCTCCTCCCTTCCTCTCCCCTCCCCCCCTCTTTCTCTCCCCTCTTTCTTCCTTCCTCTTCTTCCCTCTTCTCTCCTCTCCTTCCTCTCCCCCTTCCCTCTCTTCCTTTCCTTTTCTTCCCCTTCCCCCCTTTCTCTCCTCCTTTTCTTCCTTCCTCTTCTCCCCTTTTTTTCCTCCCCCCCTCCTCCTCTCTCTCCTTCCCTCTCCTCCTCCCCCTCCTTCTTTTTTTCTCCCCCTTTTCCTCTTTCCCCCTCTTTTTCCCTTCCCCCTTTTCCCCCTCTTCCCCCTTCCCTTCCCCCCCTTCTTCCTCCTTCCCCTTCCCCCTCTCTCTTCCCCTTTCCCCTTCCCCTTCCCCTTCCTCCTTTCCCTCCCTTCTCCTCCTTCTTTCTTCCTTCTCCTCTTTTCTTTCTCCCCCCCCTCTCTCCCTCTTTCCCTTCTTTTCTCTTCCCCTCTTTCCTTTCCCCCCTTCCTTCCCCTTCTCTCCTTTTCCCTCCTCTTTTTCTTTCTTCTTCTTTCTTCCCTTCTTTTCTCCTCCTTTTCTTCCCCTCTTCTTCTCCTTTCTTCCTTTCTCTCTCCTTCCCCCTCTTTTTCTCTCTTTCCCCTTTCCTTCTTTCTTTCTCTCTTTCTTCCCCTTTCCCCTTTTCTCTTTCCCTCTCTTCCCTCCTTCTTCCCTTCCCTCCCTCCTTTCTCTCTTTTCCTTCCCTTCCCCTTCTCTCTCCTTCTCCCTCCCCCCCCCCCCTCTTTTCTCCTTCCTTCTTTTTCCTCCCCTTTTTTTCTCCCCTTCCCTTTCTCCCCCTCCCTCCTCCCTCTCCCCCCTTTCCTTCTTTTCTCTCTTTCTCTTTTTCTCCTCTCCCCCTTTTCCTTTTCTTTCCCCCCTCTCCTCTTCTTTCTCCCCCTTTCCCTCCCCCCCTCTTCTCTCTCTCCTCTCCCTTCCTCCCTTCTCCCCCCTTCCCTTCCCCCTTTTCCTCTCTCCCCCCCCCTTCTTTTCTTCTCCCCTCTCCCTTTCTCTCCTCCTTCCTCTCTCTTTCTCCCTCTCTTTTTTCCCTTCTCCCTCCTCCCTTCCTTCTCCTTCTCTTCCCTCCCTTCTCTTTCCTCCTCTTTTCCCCTCCCTCCTCTCTTCCTCTTCCTCTCTTCTTTCCCTCTCCCTCTCCCCTTCTCTCTTCTTCTTTCCTCTTCTTCCCCTCTCTTCCTTTCTTCCTTCCCCCTTTCTTCTTCCCTTTCTTTCCCTCTTTCTTCCCTTCTTCTCCCCTCTTTTTCCCTTTCCTCTTTCTCTTCCTTTTCTTTCCTTTCTTTCTTTTTCTCTTCCTTCCTTTTTCCCTTTCCCTTTCTTTTTCCCTTCTCTCTTTCCCCTCCCTTTCCTCCTCTCTCCTTTTCCCCTCTTTCCCCTTCCCCTTTTTCTTTTTCTCCTTCCCCTTTCTTTTTCTTTTTTTTTTTTTCTCTCTCCCTTTTTCCTTCCTTCTCCTTTCCTCTCTTCTTCCCCCCTTCTTCCCCCCTTCCCTTTCTTTTCCCCCCCTCTCTTCTTCTCCTTCTTCTTCTTTTCTCCTCCTTCCCCCCTTTTTTCCCTCCCTCTCTCCTCTCCCCCCCTCTTCCCTCTCTCCCCCTCCTTTTTTCCCTTCTTCCTCCCCCCCCTCCCCCTCTTCTCCTCTCTCTCTCCTCTTCTCCTTTCCTTCCTCCTCCTCTCTTTTCCTCCTCTTCCTCTTCCTCCCTTTCTTCTTTTCTTCCCTTCCTTTCTTCCCCTTCTTCCCCTCTCCCTTTTTCTCTTTTTCTCCCTCCCCTCTCCCTCTTCCCCTCCTTCCTCTTCTCCCCCCTTTCTCTCCTTCTTTCCTTCTCCTCTCCTTTCTTCCTCTCTTTCCCCTTCCCCCCTCTCTTTTCCCTCTCCCCTTCCTTTCCCCTTCCTTCCCCTCCTCCCCTTCTTCTCTTCCCCTCTTCCCCTTTCCTCTCCTTCCCCTTTCTCCCCCTCTTCCTCTCTCTCTTCCTCCCCTTCTCCCCTCTCTCTTTTCCTTTTCCCTTCCTTCCTTCCCTTTTTTCCCTCTTCCCTTTCTTCTTTCTCTTCCCTTCCTTTCCCCCCTTCTCTTCCCCCTCCTCTTCTCTTTTTCCCTTCTTCTCCCTCTCTTCTTCCTTCCCTCCTTCCTTCTTTCCCTTCCCTTCTTTTCTTCCTCTTCTTCTCTCTCTCCCCTCCCTTTCTCTCCTCCTCTTTTTCCTCCTTTCTTTTTTTCCCCTTCCTTCCTCCCTTCTTCCTCCTCTTTTTCTTTTTCCTCTCCCTTCCCCTCTCTTTTTTCCTCCTTTCCTTCCCTTTCCCCCCTCTTCCCCTTTCTTTTTTTCTTCTTTCCCTCCTCTTCTCTTCTTTCCCTCCTTTCTTTTCTCTCTCCCCTCTCTTTTTTCCCCTCCCCTCTTTTTCTTCCCCTCCTTTTCCCCCCCTTCTCTTCCCCCCCCTCTTTCCTCTCCCTTCTCCTTCCCCTTCCCTCTTCTTTTTTTTTCCTCTCTCCTTCCTTTCCCTTTTCTTTCCCCCCCCCCTTTTTTCTTCCTCTCCCCTTTCTCTCCTTCTTTCTTTCCCCCCCCTCCCTTTCCCCTCTTTTTTCCTCTCTCCTTTTTTCTCCCCTTTTTCCCCCTTCCCTTCCCTTCTCCTTTTTTCCCCCTTTCCCTTTTTCTCTTTTCTCCTTCCCCTCCTCCTTCTCCTCCTTCTCCTCTTTTTTCTCCCTTTTTCTCCCTTCTTCTTCTTCCCCTCCCCTTTCCTCTCTTCTCTCTTCCCTCTTTCTCTTCTCTCCTTCCCTCCTTCTTTTCCCCTCTTTTTTCCCTCTTCTTTCTTCCTTTTCCTTTTTTCCTCCCCTTCCTTTTCCTCTCCCTTTCTCCTCCCTCCCCTCCCTCTTTTCCTCCCCCTTTTTCCCCCTTTTTCCTCCTCTTCCCTTTTCTTCTCCCCCTTCCCCTCCCCCCTCTCTCCCCTCTTTTCCCCCCTCTCTCCTCTTCCTCCTTTCCCCCCCCCTCCCTTTCCCTCTCCTTTCTCCTCCCTCCCCTTTCCTTCCCCCCTTTTTTTTTCCTTTCTTTCTCTCCTCCTTTCCCTCCCTCTCCCTCCCCTCCTCTTCTTCCTCTCTCTTTTTCTCTCTCTTCTCTTTTTCCTTTTCCCCCTCCTCTTTTTTTTCCCTCTCCTCTTTTTTTCCTCCCCCTTTTTTTTCTTCCTTCCCTTTTTCTTTTTCCTCCTTCTCTCTTTTTTCTTTCTTTTTTTTTTTCCCTTTCTCCTTCCTTCCTTTTTCCTCTCCTTCTTTTCTTTTCCTCTTCCCCTCTTTCTTCCCCTTCTTTCCTTTCCCCCCCCTCCTCTCTTCCCCCTTTTTTTCCCTTTCCCCCTCCTTTCCTTTTTTCCTTCCCCCCTTCTTTTTCCTCCCCCCCCTTTTCCTTCTTCTTTTTTCCTTCTTCTTTTTCTCCTCTCTTTTCCCCTCTTCCCTTTTCCCCTCCCCCCCCTTTCTTCCTTCTCCTCTCCCTTTCTCTCTCTTTTTCTTCTTCCCTTTTTTTCCCTCTTCTTTCCTTCCTCTTCTCTTTTCCCTTTCCTCTCTCTTCTCCCTTCCCCCCCCCCCTCCCTCCTTCTTTCTTCCTCTCCTCTCCCCTTCCTCTTTTTCCCCTTTTTCCTTTCCTCCCCTCCCTTCCCCTTTCCTCTTTCTTTTCTCCTCCTTCTTTTCTCTCTCTCTTTTCTTCTTTTTTTTTCTTTCTTTTCTTTTCCCCTTTCCCTCCCCTCCCCCTTTCTTCTCCCTCTCTTCCTCCTTTCCTCTTCTCCCTCCTTTCTTCTCCTTCTTTTCTTTTCTCTCTTTCCCTTTTTTCTTCCTTTTTTCTCTCTCTTCTCTCTCTTTCTCTTTTCTTTTTTCTTTTTCTCTCTCTTCTCTTTTTCTGTTTTTTCTTCTCTCTCTCTTCTCTCTTTCTCTCCCCTTCTTTTTTCTCTCCTCTCCTCTTTTCTTTTCCTTTTGTCTCGTCTCTCCTTTCTCTCTTCTTGTCTTTTTCTCTCGTCCTGTCTTTTTCTCTCGTGCTCTCCTTTTCTCTCGCCTCTCCTTTTCTCTTCTGTTTTCCTTTTCCTCTCCTCGCTCTCCTTTCCTCTCGCTCTCTCCTCTTCTTTCCTTTCTCTCGTCCTGTCTTTTTCTCTTTCGTCCTGTCTTTTTTCTCTCGTCCTGTCTTTTTCTCTTCGTCCTGTCTTTTTCTCTCTCCTGTCTTTTTCTCTCGTCCTGTCTTTTCTCTTCTCTTGTTCTCTCTCTTCCTCTTACACAGGTGGTATACGATATTACCTTCATCATTTTGTTTTCTACATCACATCATTGTATTTGTGCATTCAGTGACTTCAGTTTCATTTTCTGTGTCTAGGTGATTTCCCAGTTACCCCCGATGCCACCGGAATGTTTACCGATATTTAATGGCGTTCCTTCGAGAGCTGCTGAAGTACACTAGTGACAACAATCTGACTGCCAGTCTGATTGGTAAGAATTGTGTACCGGTGCCCAGGCTTACTTCAGAAAGACAACTAGAAGAGAGGCTCTGGATGTGAGAAGCCAAACCTCCTTCCATGTGGCAAATGTGCATAGAGCAGGAAATATACATGGCAGTATGGAGTACCTTATGAATTGAAGTAAAACTCCAGGTTTGATTAAAATAAAAGCCCAGCTGTAGAAAGGATGATAACAGATTCTCACATTTTCTTCTGTTCTGTAGATATTGAAATAGCACTTTTTTCTAAAACACCCTTTTAAAATGAGGGCTAAGACTTGTTTATAACCACACTTAATCTAAAGGTGCCCGGAGGTGAAGATGGAAAGGCAATGAGCAAGAAACATCCTCATAGTATTTAAATAATTGCTTAAAACCATTGTATGTTATAGCCAAAGTGTAGCTGAAATAAAAAAAAAAAGAAAAATCAGCACAAGGGATTTAACTTACAGTCAGTAGGATGTGTTCCTTGTGCTATTTCCCCTTCTATTAGTAGAAATCCTCTTAAGCCCATTCCCTCCCACCACCACCCCCCCTGCTATGATAATCTTTCTAATTCAGTTGACTGCACTTTAGGGATTTTATAAATGTGCTGAACTTTGTATTGCGTCATTTTGTTTTTTGCCTGGAATTTCGCCATATAAGGAAATGGCGGGCGCAAGGCGGTTCTCTCGTTGTGGGAGGACGTCACATAACATCCTTCCACTCTAACTGAGCGTGCGCAGCTCCGGAGGCGCGTAGCGATCGGTGGTACGCTGTGGGCCACAGATCTCCAATCAACGGAAGAGCCAAAGATGGCGGCATGGTCATGTGATCAGCTGTGTCCAATCACAGCTGATTGCATGTAAATAAGGAAATGCCAAAATTTTATAGCAAAAACGAAGAAAGAAAATGTTTTTTTTTTTCAAAACTTTCGGTGGTTTTTGTTTTGTTTAGCAAAAAATAAAAAACCCAGAGGTGATTAAATACCAGCAAAAGAAAGCTCTATCTGTCTCAAAAAAAATGATAAAAATTTCATATGGGTACAGTGTTGCATGACCGCGCAATTGTCATTCAAAGTGTGACAATGCTGAAAGCTGAAAATTGGCCTGGCCAGGAAGGGGGTATAAGTGCCCTGTAGGCAAGCGGTTAATGACTGCCCAGTCAGACTGGGAACAGCCCAAGTAGTCAAACACTCTCTAAAGTGACCCTTACTCAAAAAATACATTTTGCCCATTGTCCTCCTGTCAGATAAAAAAATAAATAAAAAAAGCAGACTTCCGTCACATATCCCAGGAGGCAACAGTTTATAAAGCTCAGGAGGGGGACTTGGCACTGTGTCATCAAAGGACCAGCAGCTGTTAGAACCAGGATTCCTGATTCCTTCACCCTGCAGCTTTACCTACAAAAATTTTACAAACCTGGTGGTAATATCACAAGGAGTAAAAAAATACCGTATTTTCCGGCGTATAAGACGACTTTTTTTACCCCTTGAAAATCTTCTCAAAAAGTCGGGGGTCATGTTATAAGCCGGTATAAAACGGCATGCTGACACTTTTTAGGGGGGCGGCGGCGGCCCCCCTTCCAACGGAAGGGACGCTGAATACAGGGGTGGGCAGGGGCTGCTGTTTCTTACCTGGCTCCGGTCCCGGTCCCACAAGCGCGGCTGCTCCTTCATTCAGTTCGGCCACTGGATGTTCGCGCGGCTGCTCGGCTCGGCCTCCTCACCGGTGATTGGCCGTCAGAACTGTAGCTCAGGAAAGGCACACAGGCGGCCAATCACCGGCGAGGAGGCGGAGCCGAGCGGCCCCATGAAAATCGAGTGAAGGAGCGGCCAGTAAGTGTGCCGTACAGAGGTGCTGCTGCAACCACATATGCTGGCTGCAGCAGCACCATACTGCAACAGGGGGTCAGCAAGTGTCATTGGTGTCAGTGGAAGGAATAGTGCCCCGTCATTGGTGTCACTGATACCAATGATGGGGCATTATTCCTTTCACTGACACCAACGATGGGGCACTTTTCCTCCCCCCCACTGACACCAACGATGGGGCACTATTCCTCCCCCCACTGACACCAACGATGGGGCACTATTCCTCCCCCCACTGACACCAACGATGGGGCACTATTCCTCCCCCCACTGACACCAATGATGGGGCACTATTCCTCCCCCCACTGACACCAACGATGGGGCACTATTCCTCCCCCCACTGACACCAACGATGGGATACTATTACTCCCACTGACACCAATGTTGGGACACTATTCCTCCCACTGACACCAATGTTGGGACACTATTCCTCCCACTGACACCAATGAATGGGATACTATTACTCCCACTGACACCAATGTTGGGACACTATTCCTCCCACTGACACCAATGATGGGGTACGATTCTTCTTACTGGTGTGCATTGGAAGAGGGGTCGTCTTATACGCCGGAAAATACGGTAGTTTCTCACTAAAGAAACAAGATCAAAACAAAAATAATTGTGGGATGTGTTCTAAGTAGGGGAAGGAACATTTGGGTAATGCCAATAACCAAGTACAGGTCCAACATGCCCATTGCTGAGCCACAGCTCTCCAATACACAAAGCTTATACTCCCTGCTCATTGGAGAGCTCTAGCTCTGGTTCAGCAGGAGGTTGTGTCTGACCTCTGTAGAGAGACTACTGCTTTCACACAAAGAGCATGGGTTCTTCTCTGCAGCAAGCTGGAAAGGGACAGGCTTTTCTACCCAGGCTGTGGCTTCTTTGCAAAACGTTTGTCTTAATGCAGCTACAATGTATTTAGCTGATTTAAACTGCAGTTGGGCTTTAAAAAAAAGAATTGTGGGTTTATAAAGAAAAAACCTAAACCTACACATTCGCCTACACTGCTGCATCGTGGATCCGAACTGCATCTGCCAGATCTACAACCAGGAAATGAGCAATCAAAGAACGCTGGTTACTCAGTTCTTGGTGTTCAGTGAGCAAAGAGCCAATGACTGTCAGTCACTGGAGCGCTGGGCTGTGGAGGGGGCAGGAGCAGCTGGCTTGGGCTCTCAGCGTGTTGCTGAGAGGCGGAGCCAGCTGCTCATCAAGCGTCTGGGTGTATCCCAACATTATCCACTTGCTGCCAGGCGACGTACCCATACGTCTCCCGACTTTAAATGGTTGTACCAGGATGTGCCTGCAGCTGCAGGCATCAACCCGGTATCGTTTTTTTTTTTCAGCCAGTGGTTGGCTTTTCTGTAAAAGCAATCGTAGCGGCTAATTAGTTGCTGGATTTCGTTTAAAAGCGGTGGGAGGAGGAGAGAACCGCCGCCACCTTCCAAGGCCGTCCTGGGCTCTCCTGTCCCACCGGGAGACCCGAGTGAGCAGCCAGTGATTCTGCCGTCTGCCCATAATACTTATCGGGGACCAGAATGGCCCCGATCATCCCTGTGGCCCAAGAAACCAGAAGCAACAAGTGTTTTGTCACTTTCTGTTTCGCTGGATGTCAACAAACCACTAGTGGTTTGAAAAAGGCTTCACATCATACCGATCTTGGTCTGATCTGAAGCTTTTAAGGACAGAGGACTGATCTGGGGTCTAGCAGACCCCAGATTTCTCAGTAAAGAGTACCTGTCACTTGCCTATTGCTATGACAAGGGATGCTTACATTCCTTGTGATAACAATATTAATGATCAATAACAAATTTCAAGGGACAGTGTAAAAAAATTATAATAATAAATCACGTTTGCTATTTATTTATTCGGCATAGCATTTATATTTTACCAAACAATTGGGTATCATGTTGTCTTTTTTTTTGTGCATTAAAATTTATTAAAGTGTATTTTTTGCCAAAAAATTGCATTTGAAAAACCACTGCACAGGTACTATTACATAAAACATTGCAACACATTTGTTTTAACAAAATATATACTGTTTGAGTTTTTTAAAGGGGAAGTTCACCTTTTGACTAAAAATAATAAATGCACATTTTTTTGCAGGTAAAAATGTGTACTTATTATTTTTGGTTGCAGGAGCCTGGAAAGAATTGCACTAGTGATCAGATCGCCGGTGCCATGCAGGCCTCCTGCAGACCTGCCATCATATTTACTTGCCTGTATAGGATGTATGCGCAAGAAGATGTACTGACAGGAAAAGTCAATGAACTACCATGGCACTCCACATTTGAGAACTGCAGCCGCATAGGCTGTCCAGACTTGTAGTTCATTCATAGAACTCAATGAATGAGGCGGCCGTGTGCATGTGAGGGGGCGGGCAGCTGCAGGATTGGGAACATGTTACATGCTTCATCCAAAATACAGGTGAAACATGTTCCCAAAAGATGAACTTATCCTTTAACCTCCCTGGCGGTAATCCTGAGTGTGACTCGGGGTTCATTTTCAGTGCGAAAAGCGGTAACCCTGAGCTACACTCGGGATTACACTGTAGTGTGTGTGTAGTGTAACTTACCTTGTCCCTGCGATCCCCCAATGTCCTCCCGCTGTGTCCTCTGTCCTCCCGCTGTGTCCTCTGTCCTCCCGCTGTGTCCTCTGTCCTCCCGCTGTGTCCTCTGTCCTCCCCGCTGTGTCCTCTGTCCTCCCGCTGTGTCCTCTGTCCTCCCGCTGTGTCCTCTGTCCTCCCGCTGTGTCCTCTGTCCTCCCGCTGTGTCCTCTGTCCCGCGCTGTGTCCTCTGTCCTCCCGCTGTGTCCTCTGTCCTCCCGCTGTGTCCTCTGTCCTCCCGCTGTGTCCTCTGTCCTCCCGCTGTGTCCTCTGTCTCCTCCCGCTGTCCTCTGTCCTCCCGCTGTGTCCTCTGTCCTCCCCTGTCCTCCCTGTGTCCCATGTCCTCCCGCCGCTGTCCTCCGGCCGCTGTCCTCCGGCCGCTGTCCTCCGGCCGCTGTGTCCCCTCCGGCCGCTGTCCTCCCGCTGTGTCCTCCTCCCGCTTTCCTCCCGCTGTGTCCTCCGGCCGCTGTCCTCCCGCTGTGTCCTCCGGCCGCTGTCCTCCCGCTGTGTCCTCCGG